TTAAAACAAGTAGATATGTGGTGTGGTGCTGGGCAATCTACGGTTAGGCGGGCCCTCTGCACCTACGAGTGTAGGAGACCTCCATGCGGAGCCGTGAAGCTCGTTTAAGACTACTTTAAGCTACAGCCACAGCGCCTGGCCTCCTCCCCGTGCCCAAAGGCAGGAGCCAGCTTACCTGGCAAGGAGAGCAAAGCTAGCATCCAAGACCACAGGCCTCTCACGCTCCCCATGGCGGGTCCTCACTACCCTCTCAGCAAGCCACATACAGAACCAAAGCACGAAAGGACATCCGGAGCGCAGGCGCTGCACCACCCGCCCCTTTAATAGCGGCTTCTCCAGCCCACACCTGCAGCCTCCCAATCACCTCCACGAACAACCTCCCAACAGCCGCCACCTGAAGACCTGCTCACTCCTACCCGAGGACCCTTGGCCAGGCCTGAGCCTGCTGGACCATAGTCTCACCCATCTTGGCTAAAATGGGTTAAAAATTAGGTAGGGGGCACAAAACAAACAACCTGGCAGTCTAGCGTCCCTGAGATTCTCTCCTGCCACCAGAGGGCAGAGAAGCATTGTAGCAAGGTTCGTGGGCAGCACTAAAAGGGACTAGAAGGGACTGCTTTCCCTGCCCCACCCCCTACCAGGGGGGACTCAGACACTGAAAATCTGCCTGAGAACTCCAGGCACCCTCCCCCATTGTAACTGAAAATAGAAGTGTGGTCACTACACTTGTAAAAGGTTTTCTTTTTTGTTTTGTTTTGGTGGGGGCGGATTGAAACAGTCTTATTACATAGCGTTGGCTATCCTGGAACTCCCTATGTAGACCAGGCTGGACTAAAACTCACAGAGATCCTCCTGCCTCTGCCTAATAAATGCTAGGATTAAAGCCGTGTGCCACCACACCTGGCTAGAAGCCTGCATTTCAGCAACCAGGTGACAGGACTCTGGAATTTCACACTGAACACCCAGCAATCATCAACACCCAGGGACTCTAGCCATGGCTGGGACACAGACACACACACACACACACACACACACACACACACACGGATGGACACGGATGGACACTCAGACCCTCAAATGGATGTGGTCCTTACAACACACCACCTCCTGGCAGGATCAGCTGGGGCCCCCTTCCCACTTCTCTAATTCAAAATGCAAAGCACCTCAACTCTCTTCCTATTGGTTACACCCTCCTGCAGAGATCCCAGCTGAATCAACAGCCTGGAGCACACGAACCAATCCACCCTAGCGCCCAGTGAAGGGAAGCCAGCACCAATGGGCCCCGGTTGTTGACTACAAGGGCTTGTCAGCGTTCCTGCTGGAACTGGGGCCAGCATTTCTCAAGACATGGAAGTCAGAGCCACAAGGAGGGGGTACAAAGGCAGTGCAGCTGATGTCTGATGACTGGTTTCAATGCATGGGATGAGAATGCAGATTAGCTTGACGGAAAGAATCATTCGCAATGCACACATATGTCGAAGCTTCCCGTGGACAACCTTAAATACTCAATTTTTTGCCATAAAAAAGAAGGCATGAGATGTCATTGTGGCTCACACCTTTTTTTTTAAGATTTATTTATTTATTAAGCATACAATGTACTGCTGGCAAGGAAGGCACCAGGTCTCATTACAGATGGCTGTGAGCCACCATGTGGTTGCTGGGAATTGAACTTGGGACCTGTGGAAGAGCAGCTAGTGCTCTTACCCTCTGAACCATCTCTCCAGCCCCAAGGTGGCTCACACCTTTAATCCCAGAATGTGGGAGTCTGAAATAGGTGCCATGAGATTGAGACTTAACCTGGGCTGCACAGTGAAAGCCTGGCTCAAAGAATATATATAATAATGGCCTAACTGGTTAAATGCACTTTGTAAATCATCACATTGCTTGGGTGGAAAATCTCATACTTTGTCAAAAAATGCGGTGCTTCAGAGAACCTGGAGCAGGACATCTTTCTTCGCAGAAAGATGAATGAGCAGGGATTCCTGCCTATTTCCCTGATTGCTGGTTTTCACCGTGTGCGAGCTCTCACCACAAACCTTAATCTCATCTTGAAGGCACTGAAGGATAGCACAGAAGTAGAAATTGTGGATGAGAAAATGAGGAAAAAGATAGAACCAGAAAAATGGCCAATCCCAGGCCCTCCTCCACGAAATGTGCCACAAACAGACTTTTCTCAGTTGATTGATTGTCCGGAGTTCATACCAGGGCAGGCCTTTGGCTCCCATACAGTCAGGGTGATGATCTACTGATGCTCTTGGATGTCATATGATCGGAATGTACAGTGGAGTAGGTGACTCCCTGAAATACCATGTAAATATGAGAGCAAATCGTGCTGCAGAAGCGAGAGTGACCATACTGTCTTCTGTGCAAGAATGTCCACACCCACCCCCTTATGGAGAAGGTTGGGCCAGCCTGCAGTGGAGATAACCACCTTTACGATAATGATGACAGACCAGAGGACTGCTGTCGTTACTGTAGGAGCTTCTCCTTTCTATGTCATTAGCTTAGGCTGCACGGGCTACTTCATTCATGGTGGGAAAGTTCATTGTTATCATTGGGGAAATACTGCAAATTCTATCTTTTGTTTCCAGGCATTTATTACTTTGCCCAGATCAATAAAGCAGAAAAAGAGAGGATTGAGCAGCATTTCCAAAATTGTCTTGCTCTTTAATATAGTATACTTTGCATAACTCACATGTTGTCATATTTCACATGTACTATAATATGTATTAATGTGAATACTTAAAAAATTTAAGTAAAATAAATGAGGGCATTTTATGCTTTAAGATTGTTAAAAAAAAATGTGGTGCTTTCTTCAAACAAGAATATTGTAAACTAAGGGGGACTAAGTAAGATGGTCACGAGAAGACGATACTGGTGGACGTGGGTCACAGGGCTCCACGGAACCTGCCAGTGTCAGAGGATCTGAGCACCTTGCGTTGCCTCAAGGGCACTGTGCCAGCAATCCACTTCATGAACCGGCGCTGCTCAGCCTTGGCTAGTGAAGCTTCTTTTGACATCGAGCAGAGGTGAACACAGAGAATCATCACTGGCCAGCGTGCTGAGAATCAGGGGCCGCGAGTGCTCTTAAATGGGACATCTGTCACCCTGTCCCCTCCAAGGCACAGAGAAAGTCTTATCTCAGACAAAGGGGCAGAAAGAATGCAATTGGCAGCAGATGGAGAAGAGAGCTATGAAATGTCGTCTTCTGGGTGGGACACAACTGTGGCACTCAAACTTGTGGCAGCTAAGGTTACCTGTGCGAGATCAAGCCGTCAAAACCCCAGCGTGGATGGGGAGGGGCTCTCAAGGCCTCTAGCTAAGCAGCTATTGGCAACTGTTGGTTAGAGTCATTTTTCTTTGGGGGTGTGCCTGAGCTCCATTGGGAGACCCTGCCTACACCCATGAGCAGTTGGGAAGCACTAAAGGGACTTAGTGGGTCATGAAACAAAAAGAGGACATGAAGGTGGGAGGGGATGTGTTGGGGCTGAAGGAGGGAGAGGACCGAAACACACTGTGTACTTGTATGAAATTCTCAAAAATATAAAGAATGTATTTTTTAAAGGAGAAAAATGCTGTAGACCCCCACTTATTGAGGTCCCCGGAGTCACTAACTCAGCAAAATGCAGAGGCCACTTGGAGGAGGGTTTGGGAGTTAGTATCAACATACAATGTGTTCCCATTTTCAAGATGGAAAGTTCTAGAGAAAATTATTGTGACTATAATCTAACACTACTGAATACTTAAAATGGTAAAGATGATAAAGTTTGTTATTTTTTAATCTCCCAATTAAATTTTAAGGAGGGTATGAAATGTATTTGTGGTGGAGTGTACCTTTAATCACAGTACCGGGAGGCAAAGGCAGGAGGTTCTCTTGTGAGTTTGAGGTTAACCTGGTCTTTGTATCCAGTTCCAGGCAAACCAAGGCTATATATATATATATATATATATATATATATATATATATATTTGAGACTGTTTCAAACAAAAATAAGGTGGAAGAGGAAAAGAAAAGAAAAGAAAAAAGAAAGGAAGAAAGAAGAAAAGAAAGAAAGAAAAGGAAAGAAAGAAGAGAAGAAAAGAAAGGCCGTTTGTTGGGAGATAAGACGTTAGAAGCACGGGAGGTAAGGGATGATGAGGTGAAGTGGACAGCCAGCACTGGTCATGCAGTGTAGGAGATGATGATGACTCTGGGGCCCGGGTGTCCCTTACTCATCCTGAGCTAGACATCAAGAGCACAGCCATGTCCCAATAGAAACTGACACAGGCCTGGAGGAAGGCTGAGAACAACCCTAGCTTCTGCGTGCCTTACCCCAGGGCAGACAGAATGGACCCTGGGGACTGGTTTTGTACCCTTCATTCAGCCCCAGGAAGCCAGTGCCCTCTGTTCTGGGTTCCAGACAATGATCTGACTGCCATCAGTCAACACACACCTGCACATCACACACTGGGAAAATGGGGTTTTCAAGGAAGCGGGGTCTGATCAGGGAAGCTCTGAGCTATTTGAGACCTAGACTGGAGTCTGCTTCCCTGAACCCTCCCAGGACAAACAGAAGCTAGATTCTGCGTGGGAAAGCCCCCAGGCCAAGGTGGTAAAGACCACTCAGTTATTCAGTCCTCCCAGGCATAGACTTGAGACCAGACATTTGTGCTATTGCTCTTTTTTTAAACAAAACGCTGTTTTTATTGACACATCCTCAATGTTCTATATAAATATAAAGTGCTGTTTCCAAGGGCCCCCTCCCTGGCCCACAGGGCTGGGAGGAAGGCAGGGAGGGAGTGTTAAATGTCAGTTGAACACAACTTCTCAGCACCAACTGTGGCAAGACGCACGCATACTTTCACACAAAGGCAAGATGTCAGTGACGTGACACACGCATCACCTCCTGGCTCCCCTGGGAGCACAAGGTTCGAGCTTTCACCAAGGGGTTCACACCCCTAGACACGGTTACTGCTTGTCACAGCTTGTTCCGTGAGCCCTTGGGCTAGCAAGGGCTTTAACATATGGGACTACAATACATGGGTTTAGAGTCCAGTTCATTTCTGCCAGAGTCGGGGGAGGGAGGGCAAATATACTATCCGCCCTGGTCCCCTGGATAAGGGCCAGCCTTAAAGCCCCAGCAGAAGAGCACCACATCAGAAAAGCCATCATCCTGGCTTTCCTAAGCACCCCAATTTGAGGATAGAGAGGAGCCCAGAGGCCCACAGTTGCATCCCCGAAGAGTCAGAGAGGCATCACTGTGAGACCAGGTTTGACTCAGTGACATAGCACCTGGGTCTCAAATTGCAGCAGCTGCCCCATGAAACTGAAGTTGGGGGAGATGACTCCCCGACGTTGCTTAACAAAGTCAAAGGCCTCGTCCAGCCGCACTCGGTGGCTCTGAATCAGGTATGCCAAGCAGATGGTGGCTGAGCGGGAGATTCCAGCTTGGCAGTGCACCAACACCCGGCCCCCACTATTCTTCACTGAGTCTGAAAAGGAAATGGGGAGGGAGGAGTCAGACAGGAAGGTGGACAGAGGAAACAGCCCCCCTACCTTCTGCCCGACAGTTCCCTCAGAATCCTGGGCTCCGGCTCCCTTACCAATGAAACCGATAGCCTCCTGGAACCAGGCACTAATCTCCACCATCTGGTTATCCTCTACTGGAATGCTCTTGTAACGGAGAAGACCCTCAAAATGGTTGGGGCAGCTGGCAGAGACATTGAGAACGGCTGTGATACCGCAGGCCTGCAGCCCCTGAAGGTCTGAGGAGTGGCTGCAGCTGCCCAAGTACAGGTAGGGCAAGATTTCCACAGGACCGCCCTGGAGGAGGAAGGGGACAATGGTGAGACCTCGGCCTTGGCAGAGGGCTTGAGCCCTGAGTGAGGCAGAGACATCAATGGACTTGCTACAAACAAGAGGAGTTCTAGGACATTTGAAGTCTTTAGGATACAAGAGGACATACGTTCAGACACACATATGCCACTCATGCCTTAAAGTCTGTGTGAGGATGCAACACACACACACACACACACACACACACACACACACACACGTAGTTGAATACACCCCTGGCTTTCCCCAGAGACATCCCTCTAGTGTGGGCAATGGAGCTAGACAGAAAGTCAAATAATTCTGATTTCAACTCACCTGGTCATAGACGGGAGCCCTAGGGTCAGAGCTGCTTTTTTCGGCCCCAACAGGGGATAGTGCCTGGGCAGGGCCTTCGGAGCACAGATCCGGACAGCATGCCTGGAAGCGTTCGAAGCCACCTGCCGGAAGAATAAGATTAGCCAAGAGGTCCGGGCACGGGGCGTGGGGTGCGGAGTGCTGGGCGTGGGGTACGGGCTCACCTCTCAAGAAGCACACGGCTGTGGATTCCGCGCGCATTTCGTGCAGCAGTGCGGCTAGCAACAGGTGAGCGGGGCCATCGGGCGGGAGCTCAGCCACAGACGCGCTGCCTTCGTCCAGCACCACTGCGCGGGCCAGCTCCCCGCGACCCAGGCGTGCCCGGAGCGCGCGATCCGGCAGCAGGCAGGCGAGGGCGGCGGCGGGGGTGCCGCGCGCACGGCGCCGCAGTAGCGCGTTCCAGGGCACAGGCCGTGCGGCGCGCACGTGGCTCCGGCAGAAGGCCAGGAACGGGCGGCAGTCGAGCAGCAGCGTGCCCTCGGCCTCCCGCGGTTCCCGCAGCAGTGCGCCCAGCGCCGCACACTCCAGCTCAGCCGCCACCTCCAGCCTCATGGCGATCGGCATCGCAAAGCCTTCTGCTCCCCGCGGTCCTCTCCCTCGTCTTGCCCTTCCCCAGCTCCCGCGGCGGCGACTGTATGGCCTGGGCGACTGTTGGCTCTGGGCGCGCTTTGTCGCGCCCGGGCTTAAGTACTCGAGGGCCGGCCCCTCGGGTCACCATACAAGGATAGAGCAGGAAGGCGCCGGCGCCCGCCCCCGCGGCTTCACGTGGGACGTGGGCTGAGCCGCCCTCGGGGCTCCCGGAGAGGAATGGGGGGGCATCTGGGGGAGGAGCACGGAAGGGAAGAAACTGGGGACCAGACCGTGACAAGTGTCAGCCAAGCGTCTAGAGGCCCCACCCACGTCTCCCCAGCGTCTGCGCCTGAGCGCTCCCCACTCTGCCCAGCTCCAGGCCGCTAGATGTTTGGGGAACTCAGCTTCCCAGCTACTCAGCCTTCCAGTTACTGAGGTCTTAGACTTTCTCACTTTTCCCGTTCTCTCCCAGGGGTTTCATCCTAGAAATTTCGGGGGGAAAAAATAGACCAGTTTTACCTGTTGCTACCGATGATGATACATTAGAAAAATGGACACCACTTGTGTCATTTTAGAGACCTTAGGAAAACATCAGTCCCCTTCTCCGTATGGCAGCGTTTTTCTGAAAGTTGGCCTGGCTGGAGCCAAAGCCCTGGGTCTGGGGGCTTCATGGGGGAAGGTGAGCAGGGGCCTGTGACGAGTTTCCACTTAGGACTGGGGCAGCTTCTTTCCCCAAGGGGCCCAGGGAAACCCCCAAGGGCCCCAAAAGAAGTACTTCCCATATTACCGGCTAGGGTTGAAGGGGAACTCTGCTGACGGTCCTGGGCTCTCCCAGGGCCTAGTCGGGCCTGGCAGGAGTTTCAGAGGAAGAAGGAGAGCCACTTTCAGAACCTGCCCCTTTCCAGTCTCCTAGAACTGCAAACCCTCCTGGGACAGGCCCTGGTCCCACACTAAGCTATGAGAATGAAGATCTAGGTAACTCACAGCCATTCCGCCCTCCCCCACACAAGTGCCACCCCCCTCCTCCCGGATGTGGTGAGGCCCAGCTGTGCATGGGTTCCCCCCTCCCGGGACAGGCTCCTGGGTTGGGGGCAAGAAATGTTGGTAGGTGGCTGAACTCCATCCGAAGCAAACATGGTGGGTGGGGTCGGTGTTCAAAACCCAACCTCCCAAATCCTTACTCCCGAGCCAATTTTCTGTGCCTTTAGTAAGAGCCTTCCAGCTTCCCTACAGATCCTATGTCCCCTCTGTGTTGGAAGCCTACAGTTAGGACCTGTGTGGACCCCCAGCAGACGGTATGGTATATGGGTTCTGAAGCAGAATATTGTGCCTTTCCTCTTTGCCTGGAACTTGGATCCTACGGGGATCCAATGCAAGGGAAACGCTACAAGGACTCCTGGACCAGTGTCCAGTGTCTCAGTGTCACCATCATGCACGTTGGTTCCCGGGCTGTGAGGCTGTGCCTGGGTCCCTTCCCACCGAGTCAGTCTGGAAGCTGATACAGCAGAACTGGCAACCCAGCCAGGGAGTCTGGACCATAGATCCCTGAAGGTGATAGGGGCTCTTATCCTTGGCATCGGCCTCACAGATGACTTAATGGCTGATTCCAGGGACAAATTACAGAGCATGAAGGGGGACCATCATGTCTAGTCTTGCTGACCAGAGTCACCTGCCATGCCTGGAGCCACAGCCTTCCAGCTGTGGAGAAGAGGGAGGCCCCACCAGCTGAGGTCCCTGCAGCAGGAATGAAATCAACTTAGCTTTGTGGGAAACTCCAGGTCCCTGATGCCAGTGCTGGACTCCACTGCTGGGCCTCCTCGCAGGGTGACATTGTGTTGCTGAAAGTTGATTGGGTGCCTCAGTCCTTGTGTCTGTCACACAGACACCACTCTCCTGGGAGCTGTCCCCTTTTCAGCACTGACATACACAGGTGAACTCAAGGAGGCCAAATTAACCATAAAAGAGGGGTTTGCTTTCTCCTTCTGCCAGATCCGCAAATCAGGGGAAAACCCCACCTTCAGTACCAGGGTGAAAGTCCAAGGCTCGGGTAGAAGAGCCCACATCCCTCCCCGACCTGCTGTTCTGACTAAAGGTCCCCCTACCAACTCTTGGATGCTGTCACAAATGAGTCATCTGCGGGATGTCTGCCACCCCTTGCTACCTTCTCAGGACCCTGTTCTCCAGAATCGTCCCCTGGGAGTCTTCCAAGAGGAGGCAGGACTCTGGACATAAACTGGGCAGGCATGGGGGGGGGGGGGGGGTCCCAGGCAGGCTGGCTCTTCCACAGGCTGCCAGTGCCTCATCACTGGACAGTAAGTGACCACACAGCTGTCGGTTTCTGTTTAAGGTTTTTCATGGCTTGACTCTTACAGAACAAACCTAACAAGTGAGTTTGGGGCTCAGGTTTTATTTATTTTTCTTTCTTCAATTAAAACCATGTGGGACTCATCTGGAACAAATGATAATTCTCTGTGTCATTTTCTGTAACCATTTATTTGGATGGCTGCTTAGACGTCACTGGCCTTCTGCCGTTGGGATTCCAGTTTGTCCACCCAGTCGGCTTACAGGATGGGTTTCCCTTCCACAGTCAGACGCTTGAGGCTCTGCCCTGACAACCTTTCCCTTCCTCCTCCTTCCAAGCCTAGCCTCAAGCAGATGGCCCAGGGAGGAGAGGCAATGTGAGTGGCTGGGCTGAGAGGCCTGAGCCAGGGTAGTTATAAAGGTGAGAGTGACCCTAGGGATGAGTGACAGGCCACCCCCGGCCCTGTCTGAAGAGTGAGTCAGGGGTGACGTCAGCTTCCCTGGACCAGCCAGGCCTCCCACCCGGATGCTATGCTGCAGCCACCCCCACAGGCTCCTGTCAGGCAAAGACCCGAACCCCAGGTCTTGAGCTCTGCCGTCACAACCTGGCAAGCACTGTGGGAAGGAAGCAGAGGGGTCCCGTGGCCATCCAGTCTCCTGCTGGGGAAGGTGAAGCAGGAAGCCCCAAAGATCCGCTGGCAACAAGTAGACATGTGGTAGAAGAGGCTGGCATGCCCCACGTGTTTGTCAGATGAAGGACATCGGTGGCTCTACCTTGGAGGTTCCCTCTGAATCTGATCTCATACTGAATGTGGGGAAAAGGGACCTGTCACCTGAATTTGGGTTCCTCTTGTGCTCAGGAGGTCCTTTGATGTGCAGAGGCATCCAAATAGGGCACTGAAGAACACCGAAGCACACAGGAAGTTCTACCCTTTTCAAATCCCCGTCAGTTACCTGAGTCTGTCCACTGTGGCTGGCTGGCTTCAGGGCCCCTGTGACCTCCACTCCTCCTCCTCTTCACTGTGGCTCAGGTCCCTCATTCCCTTCTGCATTTACTCACTGACTCAGGAGCACACTCAGTCCTGGGAACTCGTGTGCCAGGTCCTGCTTTGGGGGCTGGGGACCCAGCAGTAAACCCCTAGTGACGCCTTTGAGGAGCTGACTTCATCATCTCAGTAATACTTACCTTCGTGATCATGTTGTATTCATGGCCAGGGACACCAGTTAGCCACTAGAGTGATGATTATCTTTCCCTTTTAAAATAAATGCTAGGGTTGTAAAAAAAAAAAATCAAGTCAACTCAGGAAAGCTATTAGGTAAGGCACAGACAGTTCCCAAACACTCTGTAAGCCATGATGCAGGTAGAAGACGCCAGAGTGGGAACACCTTGCCCTAGAGGTACCATCACAGTCCCTTCCAGCACTGTGCACTGTGTAGTTCAGGGGATCTGGATGTCCCCATGGCTATGGTCTCGCATAAAGACAAGCGCATGAGTCATAGGGCAGGGAGGAGCCCCAGTGGACAATGGTAAGTATCCCATGGTCAGGTTAGAGACTACACTTTGGATCATACATGTCCATGCAAGGACTGAGTTTTGCCTATGCCCCTGCCTGTGTACCTGGTTATGGCTAGAGGAGACCCCCCACTCCTAGGGCACCCTTCCCAGCATACATCGGGCATCCAAGCATCCCAGCAGTGAACCAGCTCCACTCCCAAGCTGGCAGCCAGAGGCATCTGTGGCTTAGGCACAGCGGAGGAGGAAACAGGTTCACAAGAAGTTAATTCTCAGAAATATGACCACACTGACTTCCAGGGTCATAAGAGGACTCCTGGGTCTCTGCCAAGACCAGAGCTAGGTGCACTGTGGCAGGAGACAAAGTGTCTTTTAGGCCCTGGGGGGTTAGAGACTTTCAGGATCAGAGACAAGGGGCAGGGCCAGCTGTCCCTCCCAGGCCATGCCAATGCCCTCACTCGTTGGCCAGCAAAGGGTGGAGCCAGGTCTCCTGAGCCCACTGACATTAACATGGCTTTAGGCGGCAGCCCAGACCATGGGCATCTGCATGGGTTTCAGCAGTGACAGGATCCACAGACATCAACAAGGTCCTTGGCCATATTAGGACCACAGACCCACCCATGGCCCCTAGCAGCTGAAAGGGCCAGAAGCTTCCACATGACCTCAGGGAGTTAGACATGCCACTCACATCAGCATGGCTCCCCCAGGCAGCAAAGTCTGGAGACATCGGGCAGTGTCACAGACTGCGTATGTCCACGTGGAGCTCAGGCTTCATCGCAGCCTGGGACAGCAGCGTTAACCACAGAAACCAACGTGACCTCTGGTGGCACCACGGGGCCAGTGGTCATTTGAAAAGTTCCAATCCCTCATCTCTGGTCTCCATCATTGCTCAAGGCCAGAGAACCCTGCAGCCGGGCAGCAGGTTTGGGGGCTGAGTCTACGTAAGCTCCAGGCTGTTGTAGACCATCCTGCTGAGCCTACTGGGCCACAACAGCATGTAGACCTCAGTCCCCTCTCTCGCCTGTCACATCTCCAGTTCCACCTCTGTCCATAGTGCACACATCACTCCTTTTTTCCCTGTCTTCCCCACCTCTCTATCACATATCCATTTGTTATAGTTGTACCCGTCCACCCTGGGCCCTCAAGGCCCCGGGCAGTCTAGGCAAATACTTTAACCTTT